CGAGTGGGCCGTGGAGCGAGAAAACGCCCCACCTGTAAAGCTAGGGAAAAGCGGCCTAAGGACGAGGTTGCATGGGAACCATGATCATAAAAACTTCTTATAGGATACTGGATGGTGAAAGAACTCCTGTTTCGCGCTCTCAGGGGGCTTTGCGGAAAATTGCTCCTTCCATAAGCTCTGGAGAAAGCTCCAAAGCGGCTTTTTTCTGTAGCTGCGATTAGTTTAGCTAGCGGATATCGATTTGCTAACGGGGAACAGGGTCTTTTCCAGTCTCACTCCGTTTCTCGTCCGATCCAGTCAGCTTCACCAAAAAAAAAATCAAATAAAAGAGGTGTCAAATCCCAGCCAAAGTCCTTGAAAATAAATATCTTGCCAACTAAGTTCCCATTGCGCAAAACTTTTTTTGGCGGAACACCTTCGCCGCGGCCCCTGCCCTTTGATGTGACGCGGTATAGTAGAGCAGATATGTGCTTGAATTGTTCACTTTCTGTTAAAAGCATGAAATTTGGCATGATGATAGTTTTCAAGGCCCTAAAAAAGATAGGATGTGGTGTCCGTTAAGTGCAAAAAATAAGAGTTTTAAAAGGGCGGCCATTTTGAACCGGAAGTGACATTAACATTTTCTTTAAAACGTCTGAAATTTAGCAACTTGGATTAGAAAATGTCAGCAAATGCCGAAGGCAGCTGTATTTTCATACAAAGAGCTATTATTTCAATGCAAATTGTCTAAAAAAATTAAATATAGATGATATAACTGGCTGCCAGCTGGACCGGAAGTAAAACTACCCGAGTCGGAACTTTAAACTTCTTTTGTGCCTGCTAGTTTTCTTTAATATTTTCTTTAAATCTAATGTATACACTCAATTTACTATTTTCATCATGTATAATCCATTACTAAATTTGAGCCTACTTTGGCTATGATACAGAATATCGAAGAAGAGCAGATGATATCTCAGTGACCTAATGACTTGATACTTCATGCAGACGAGTGCTTGAAATAGAAAAAAGAGTCGTTTTTCACGATTGTCACTCTTCTGGGAATAGCCCTTCTTACGAGCGTACTTGACTAGTTCCACCCTCAACTTTTCAATTTCTGACAGTGGTATGAAGTAAAGTCGCCACTCTCCTCTTAGAAATATCCAGCCCTAGTCTTGCAGACTAGGAACCGAGATGCTTGGTACCAGTGCCTGCTGACTCCATTTGTGGCCAGCATGGTTTGCCGTGCCCTTGAAAAGTTTAAGTAATGCAGGCCGGATCAAAGAAACTACTTTTGGCTTTGTCAGTTGACGGTAAAGAACTACTTTTTCTATCGTATAGAAGAATGTGTAAGCAAAAGAAAACACCGATTATTTCTAGAGGTGACCAGAAGTATTCACCTTGTCACATCCTGTGAATGCATGGAACGGAGGAAGTGCAAGTGCAGCATTTTTAGTAAATACGCTAGCAATCTCGTAGGCTGCAAGGTAGCGTAGATGTACATCAGTACCAAGATATATGATAGGGAAGCTAACTTGGCTTCATAGTAAGGAAGAAAAGCTTCATTGGTAGTTAGAACGGAGAGCAGACTCAACGAAAATGTCTTGGACACAATCAAGGGAAGGGAATCTGCTTTGTGTTGCGTAACAATAAATGCTTTTTAACACTTACAAATTCGTCAAACTGATCTCTACACATTTCCTTAAACGGATAAGTTGAGAGAATTTGATGAAAGATCAAAGCTTCAGTCTCTTAGGTGATCATTTTATTAATTCTCATAACCTAATCTCTTGACAATATATGGATATTGTTAGAAGAAAATTGATGTTGATCACTTTCCTATGCGTAAAAATGTGAATCATTGTTTCACATTTTTTTAAAATTCACTACTGAAATGAATTGCTTTGAATAAGTTGCATTTTCCATTTTATCCCGCTTTTACTTTTCTCATTTAAACCGCTAATTTGTAACACAGTTGACTTTTTTATACGACATAAATATCCGGGAAAACATAGAACAAATAATTTCGTCGTCATTTTGACCTTAACATGCCAAATTTCGTGTACTTTCGGTTAGGTGATATTTACTTCCGGTCAAAATGGCGGCCAATTTAGTAATAACGCCAAAAACAAGTTTAACAGGAAAAATTTGCGATGGCACCGATATCACATAATAGCCACGATTATTTTTTATAAGAAACAATTTCGTCGTCACTTTGGCTTAAAAAAATGCTTAATTTTGTGTACTTTCGGTTAGATGATATTTACTTCCGGTCAAAATGGCGGCCAGTTTAATTTTCACTCCCAAAACCAGTTTAACAGGCAAAATTTGCGATGGCACCATGTCACATATTAATAGACATTAATAGTTCTGTCATTCCTGAAAATTTGGTGCTTTTAACAAAAAGTGAACAATCCGGCCCCAAATCTGGACATATCCGCCCCACTAGTAGGAATGAAGCGCAAACAAGAGCCCGTCTCCCTTTGCAAACTCATGGTTGTTAGTAGAGTTTGATAACATTCAGAACAAGTTAAAACAACAGCTTTTTTCCAAGTTAATGTTTCAAATTCACGCTATTTTCTCGCATTCTTTCGGCAACATAATTGTTGGGAGTAGAGTCGAAGCTTGAACTGGTACTTCAGCCCCTTCTTTTGATTCTGATCAATAACCTGGTGCGGCTGGGTTCGGCTCTCTACTCTTCAGCAGTTTCGAGTTACTCTTGAGAGATCGTTCGTTCCGCATTTTTTTTTACGATGCACCACAGGCGGCCCAGACTCTGTGGGAGTTCGTTAGATATTGAATTTATAAGAGAATGTATGAAAACAAACAAAATAAGTCCTAAATTCCATTTTTTTTTTTTTGACTGTGCGTGTTTTGTTATTTATTGTCTCTTTGCTTCTAGAGCCATTTGGAAGCCGTTTTATCGACTTTAAGATTTTGAGTTGTACTAACAGTAAGAAATAATCATTACAACTCAATCTTATTTGCATGCATGATACCGTAAAGTTCCGAAAATAAGCCGCGGGGCTTATATTTTTCAAAGGCCCTTTTTGAGGGGCTTATTTTCGGAGGGGGCTTATATTCGGAGGGGCTTATCTATGGAGGGAAATTTGCATTTCAAAATCGATTGGGCTTGAGCCTTATAGTTGGAAGGAAATTTACCGTTTTTGCTTTGTTTTACTTTGTATTTGAGGGCAATTTCCAAGTACAAGCCCCCGGGGGGCTTATATTTGGAGCAGCGATTTAACAGAAGGTTTTTTGCGTTACGAATTTGGGGGGCTTACATTTGGAGGGGCTTATTTTCGGAATTTTATGGTATTTTTCCTCCACTTCCCTGTCCTCGATCATATCTCGCCCGAGATCACGCGCGGTCACCACGTGTTTACATCAAAGTTCAAGTTCAGTGAAAAAAAAAAAAAAAAAAAGCATGTAAGAAGTCCGCATCGGTAATTTCCTTTTTTCACAACAGTTTTTGTATATTGTCAACTGGAAAGACTCAGGTAAAGACCTTTTCCCTCACCCTTCCTTTCTATCTTTATGATTTCCAATGCACGTACGCAAGATCTTACTTAATTTCTTTTGATACTCGCAGGGGTGCACACGTGTTACCTGGTGACTCGTCCCTTGACCATAAAATTATTATTTTTATTTTTTCACTTTAATTTTAAAAACATTACTTAAATACGAGGGTAGTGAGAATACATCGAATAATCGCTGAAAGGATTCAATGAGGCAACCTTAATATTTTGTCTACCCAAGGAATTCTTTTCATACTAATTGCAGTCGTTGATTCAGACCTCTATCAGACTAGAAGCCAGCATTTTGGCTTACATAATCGAGCAAATTATCACGCACTGACAATGATATACGGGAAGTCAAGGGAAGTGTGATAAATCATACAGCCAATTTCCCCACAGCACTGCGGAAACTACGTTTATATGCCTTGCCAGCATTGAGTAACTAAACCTCAGCGAGGCTCATTAAAGAAAACTTAGTAAACTGTTTCCAGTAAAACATACGAAGTAAAATATATAGCAACATGCCCTCAATAAAAAGAGCGAAAATAATAATTTCGGTCTGAAGTCAACAGGAGCGCCGGTTTTGTCTGTAGATATTTATAAAATAGAGAAGCTAATTACAAGAAATAGACAATCGGAAAAATAGCTAAAAATAGATTAATTAAGACTGCATTTACCTTCTAGCTTCCTCTCGAATTTAGCTCCTGGATGAAAAACATGAACAATTGAGAGCAATCGCCATTTTGATCAATGTATGATCCAATTTCAAATGGGTCAGCACGTATGTATCTTCGCGGAAATGACAACAGTCAACATGTGACAAGCCAATTATTAACTATTCAATAATACTTTATTTTCTTTGTTAACAGGATTATCCCTTATTCGCAGAAAACTGACTCTGTGCCAGCTTTATATCTTATTTGTCTAAGTCAGCAGCTTTTCCGGCGGAATACAATGTAAAAATAGTACTTTATTTTCTCTGAAAAGGATAACTAATTCATTTCCAGTTCTAAAACGGGGCTGACCAATGATACCGGAGCCTTCAAAGAGATGTAAGAAAAGAAAAAGAATAAGCGGTGCGTTGGCGGAGCGAAAAAATCCTCCCGCCCAATCGATCGCCCTTCGCCTTTTCTTTTCACTGCAAAGTTAAACTGGCTAATACTGGGGAATATCTGCTCACAGGCTAATTAAGGCGGTTGCTAAAGCACGTATTTTTTGTACCCTTAACGAATTCGATAGCTAAAGAGGACGGGGAATGGAATTTTGATTAAAGGGCCCTGTTCTTCTAGAAGAAGAATGCCCTGCCCACAGGCCGATACACTCATGAGCCTTGAAAGAGCTACTTTTTTTTTTATTTTGTTCAATTTAATCATTTCTATTCCAGCAACCTCGAAACAAAAAACAAAAACAAAAACAAAAACAAACAAACAAAAAACCGACCCCGAACCTAGGAAAAAATGGTGCCTCGCTTTCGTTACACACGATCGGTTAAGCCTGGGCCTGAGTCAGTATTACGAAGCAGCGAAATTTCCTTCCGGCCAGTCAGCACTCGTAAATGTGTGATTTCTGGTCTCAAAACAAAGGTTTCTTGGTCGAAACACAAACCATAAGCTGGTGAATTCCTTCCTTCATAAAACCTGATCATCATTATATCACGATGGCGTAGTGAAGAGCAATTTTAAGTCACTTAAAATGACGAGTAGTGGCAAGAAGGGCAAGGCGGCCGTGCTCGAGTTCGATACTCAAACGAAAGGTACGTTGTTAGATAGGTCCTGTGATAAACGGCACTGCCATAGGCGGTGAATTTAATGAGTTGTTGGTATAAATACTATGTGGGGAATAAAGTGAAGTATTCGCCTCGAATCGCTTCCGGGATGATATAAATCTGCGATCTTTGGTGACTCAAGAGGCGAATTGCCGTCCACGCTCTCGGTCAGAAAAAGGCGCGTGGAAGGTCTAAGGTTGTGGCAAATATCGGGTTAGTTTGGTCCTTCTTATAAGGTTAAATCAAGCAAACAAGCCGCCTTCCTTTGCCTTAAGCAAGAAATTTAGACATCGAAGATGTAAGTGGTAGCTTCAATCTCCAATAATGATTTATAATGGATCAGACGGAATACAAATGTACATGTATACAAAACTGAAGCTTAAACTTATAAAATAAGCAAGCTCCTGGAAGTTTTATTTTGCATCAAACTTCTGTGTTCAGAGAAAAATAATTTCATTTACGACCAGACCTGTGAGATTTTTGACAAACTGCCATTTAACCGTGTTTCCACGTTGAGGTGTCCTATTAAATTACCATACATGGCCAGTTTTGGAGCGTAAACTGAAAGTTAGCTTTTATAAGCTTAATTTCTTCTTTGTGCAAATACAACTAAGCTTATTTTGTTGGATGTGGAATTTTAGAGGTTTCGCTTAAATTTATTGAATAAAAACTTGTTTAGAGCCATTAATATTTAAACCACTACAAAATTTGACCTTATCGTAGATTCCACAGTAGCTGTGCTTGAATGTTTCGTTTAGTTTGGTCTGTGTAGTTATTTTTGACCGCGCCGCAAGCATTCACAAACTACCTTTTATGTTCATTTATTCGTGAGACGTGAAATGTATAAAATATTTAACATTTAGTGCCTTGTTTCCTTTTTAAAATTTTCATGGCTTCTTGACTTGACCAATTTTTTCGTACTGTACCTGAATCCAATGCATATGTTTGAGTTGTACGCTCAAGTTAATTGAAGTCTTTAAATTCCTATTAAATTTACGGATTCTGTATTAACCCTATCGTAAACTCCTGACCACAAATTCGTTGTGAAATTAGGCATGTGATGAAGTTTGTAACGATGAAATTTTGCCGGAGTTGTCGATACACGAACTTTGAAACAATAAGCTTTTAATCTATCAAGTACTTTGTTGTTGCAGGTCACGAAATCTGTTCACGCAGTTAAATTAATTTACTCCATTTGTATTGGGCATATCCATGGATAAAAGAGTGTACAAAGATTTAAAGGGTTTCTTTGAAAAACTATTGCCTCCATAGTTTGTTTTTTTCCCCTAACAACACTACCAGTTGTATTGTGTCTAACAAACAACTTGTTTCAAGTGCTGTGGATATATTTAGTGTTAATTCAGTTTTACTTTTTCTAAATTCCATTGATTTGAGAATTGATCTGTGGAAAAGTAAGCGTATAGTCAATAGAGTACATTTGAATTTTCCTGTAATTGAACTATAAAGGAAAATGTAGATAGAAAATTTATCCTGTCAAAACATGATACTGAATAACTGTTTGTAGTGTCGAAATAATAAATGCTATTTCAAAATCTGTATAATCTTTATGTGGTGGTACTCAATGCTTATCTTTGGGTGGTTAAAGGTCTATCAAAAATGAAATACATTATTTATTAATCCACTTAAGAGGTAGTTTGATGCTTAAAGATAGACATTTCAGCAGCCATTATTTGTTTTTTTTTCCTTTCCTTCCTATTATGAAGTCATTTCCTGTTGTGGTATGCTGATCATCAATTTATTATAGTCAAGTCCTTAAAATACCTAAATACAGAGACAGACATAACTAAATGTGATTGTTATAGAGGCGTCCATTCTTTAGAAGTTTTTAACGGTCGTGAATTCAGTTAGCTAGTAGATTATAATTAACAATCTATTTTTGTTGTTATTGAATGAGGCTGAGTGTGATGTGAAGAATGATGCAGATGAAGGATAACAACCTGCAAGATCAGCATACACATGTAATTCTTCACATCATACAAAAGCCAAATTCAATAAATATTGTTTTATTCTTCGACATTCAAATTATTTCTAAATTCTTAACAAGCTTACCTCCTCATAGACTTTCTTAAAAACTTTGACCTATATCTCGGCATAGTTTCAGGATATAAACAGAATATTGCTTTCTCTGACAGATACTCCTCAAAAATAGATACTTGTAACATTCATGCTCATACTTGTATTTGTTCCGTTCAGTTTTGGTTAGAAATTCAGCTATTTCATCTTCAGACAGCCTTGAAAGCCATGTTTTAGTTCACTTTGTCCAAGCTGCCTTTTTTCTAAGAAAATACAGTATACCATCGATCAACCTTGTTTCGAAGTAAATACACCATTAAATCAATGGGACAGGGCTGTATATTGCTGGTATCTTCCATATATTTTAAGTGCCAGTTGGTTATGAAGAAGTAGCTGGGTGATTAGAGTCAATCAGAAACATTGAAATATTTTAAATGAATAATAATTAACAATAATCCATGAGTGCGCATTGGATATGAGATGGTAGATAGCCAACGAGGGGCATAGCACCGAGTTGGCTGTAATCATCTCATATCCACAAGCGTTATTGTTTAAAAACGCCTACAAAAAATCTGAAATTCCTCCTGAATTTATTTGTTAAAACAACCGACTTTCGGCTTGTTTTTAATTTTGAACAGATGCGCACAGTTACCATATTTGGCGAGAATGGTATAATGGCTCATATACCATGACGGCAAAGCCAATCAAAGCTCTAGAATTGCATTATCCAATAATTCAGTTTTTAATAATTGTTTTTATTTCATCTTCCAGAGGTACGGCAGATTCTTATAGAACAACTAAAATGCTTTGACAGCAGAACGGAAGGTAAAGTTCTGTTACTAGCAGACTTACAGGAGTTTTTCAGGAGGTTGTCAGAAATTGAGTTGGATTACTCCAGAAACCTTGAGCGGCTTTCAAAGATGTACTTGGACAAACTACATAGACATAAGACTCAAAGGTACTGTCATAATGCCATAGTTTTTTTGCATTATATATGAAACATTCAAATCTTAATGGACTAACTCGTAACAACTAGTAGTTTCCAATGGAAAGTGAAGTGCTGCGAGTAAAGCATGACATTTCAAATAATCTGATATTTGACATTAACCGTGTCAAATAACTGTGCATGTAATGCTACAGGACACAAAGGCGGTTGATAAAAACTGAACTTTGAACCACAATGAATAATGACAGACCTGTACAGTGATAAAAGTTATTTCTAAGTTTACAGTTTACTTTTATATGGAAAGACTACATCATTAAACGACAATGAGTACATACACATATAGCCTGCGTGGCAGGCATTCAAAAGCAAAAGGGAAGGGAATTTGGGTGTGAGACTGCATGCGGGGGAGAAGGGAGGACAGGAATGCCTACAAGAATGCCTTGTACGCCTACTATGTGTTTTTTGGGCGACTAGAATCCCATCCCTTTCAGATGCCTGCCATAAATGCTAATATGCATAGAACAACAGCAACAACAACAATAAACATGTCAACTAGCTATTTAATTACGCGGTTCAAATTTGATGTTTAGAGGTGATACTTTTATATGAGTTGGGCTAGCGCCCGTTGTACATCCAGGAGTTAACCATTAAATTTTATTCCACTTACCTAACGTATTCTGATGGGCAGGGATGTAGCTATAACAGCCAGCTTTGGCTAAAATCAGTGGCTGAAAGGGAGACATGGAGTAATCTGAATATGCAGACTTTAAGCAAAAAAAAATGCTCTTTAGCTTTTTTTTATGGCTACATCCCTGGTTAAGTGCATCTCTTAACAGTCATTGTTTCTGTTACTGTCTTATGTTTAGGAAGGAAAAGGGAACAACAATGGATTTATGGCAACAAGTACTAATGGAAACAAAGACCAAATCTAAAATGCATTTAGGCCTAAGTGAGAATGTTTCCAATAATGTGGTGAACAGGTTTATGATTATAAGCGATGACTGTCAGAGAGTAGCCAAAAAGGTGACTATTTAGTTATTGAATGTCCCTTTAAGCCCCCATATCCACATACAAATTCTCCAAACTGATCTCCATACATTTCCTTCATGAATGAGTTGAGAGAATTTGATAAAAGATCAAAGCATTTTATCTTAGGTGATCATTGTGTTAATTCTCATAACCTAATCTCTTGACATCATATGGATATGGTTAGGAGAAAATTGATGTTGGTCACTATTGGGACTTGGTTTCCAAACAAACAAACAAGACAGTGCCCAGCAGTACCCAGAACTTGCAGCCCGTGGCGCCGACTTTTGTGTATACTCTTCAGGGCTGTGCTCTAGCAGAGCCCAGTGGCCTCTGGCGCCTAACTTTTGCCCTCGGGCGACTAGAAAAACTTAGATTTTTCATACAAATCATATGCTGGACACCCCAGATTTTACAGTTTCAGAGCACTGGGTTCACTTCAATTTTCCTCAGAGCACAGCCTTGCTCTTGGATGACAAGCAGCTCTAACCTTTTTGCATAGAAATAATACACATGTATGCTGGGTACCCTGGATTTTGTAGGTTCAGAGTGTTGGGCTCCCTTCAATTTTTCTTAGAGCATGGCCTTTTTCAAATCAGCTTAATTTTGTGACTCTGTTTATGTGCAACTTGTTATCAAACTCAAAAAGGTGGTTTCCAAGTTGCCCTCAGCCGTAAGTGTTTTCATTCTGATGCAATTAAAACCTATTTTCACTGGAAAAGTTTTGCACTTAGCCTCGTTTTGAAAGTGAGAGTGTTAGAAAATAGCTTACTAATGCTGTGGTGAAAGGTTTTTCCTCAAAGTTGACACTATTTTGTAAGTTATTTATTTATTAAGCACTGTGCATTTGATTATATTCAGTATGTACATAGATATTTGTGTGCTATAAATTTTTAAATTATTATTTGAATATTAAATTTGCATTTTGAGTGAGACTGTTGGCTATTTATCAGGGATCTGAAGGGTACCCTTTATTAATCTTGTTATGCCATCATTTTATAGAAAAGGATTATGTAGATATAAAGTCATAGAATTTGCTCCTCTCAGGCTTAGAGGTTAAGTGAATTTACATGCACACCATAAAAAGTTTTTCCACCTAATTAGTAAACTGTTTGCATTTAAGGTAAAAAGGTGACAACACAACATGCTAATATGGAAAGCATATAATTTACTTTTTGCAGTGCCGGGAGACAGCAACAACTCTGCAAGATGAGCTACAAAAGTCAGTGCAGGAACTTAACCGGGTAAGCAGTCATGACAAATTAACTTTTTGATCTTGCTGTAAGTTAGCTAAAAGCATTATACAGTGTAAATAATGTTGTTTTTTACACTTACGAGAGTATTGCAGTTATCTGTCTTTGTCAAAACCACTGTTGAATCATGAAGACATGCTACAGGCAGAGGGACTTCGCTTCTCCCACTTTCAAGGACATCTAACATATATTAATTTACTGTTTTATACATACTTCAGTCAAAATTTATGCGGCAAGATTTGTTTAATTTTTTCCAGCGTTTTCACCGCTATCACTCCATGGCTATCGAAAGCAAAACTGCAGAGCAGAAACTACAAAAGATGGAAGACTCACGTCGTAAGAATGAAAAAATGGCGAAGCAGTTTGAAAAGGTACCTACAGTTGTAATGTATAGAGAAGTTTTCAAGGAACGTTTAGGTTCCTATTTGAAGAGCTTTGAATTCTTGACTCTTGCTCAGTGAGGGAGACATCATGCCCATTAACAACAGTAACTGACAATGAGTAATAATTAGTTGATGCACAGCAGCCTGGTAAAGTTAATTATTGTTTATAGGCCCTTGTCTTTCAAGTTGTAAGCAGGTAAAAATTTGTTTATTTCCTTGTGCGTGCACCCTATTTTTTTTCTGTAATAAATAAATAAATAAATAAATGCATTGTAACAATTTAGAGGTAGCACATCCACATAAGTGGGTTTTTCGCCTACCATTCTGGATGAACTGGAATTTGGAAATGTTGGTTTTTGAGGAGAGGGGAAAACCAGAGTACAAGGAGAAAAACCTCTCATAGCAAAAGAGTCCAGAGAGAACCAACAACAAACTCACAGAAAGTTTTGAAGTAGACGGCTGAGTTGTCAAAGTAAGCGGCCAGTCCAGGAATATTTTATTTAAAAAAATGCCATCCGTAAAAAATGGCCAAGCAGAGTAGCCGGCCCATGCTAACCAAGTAGGCGAAGATTTTTGCTGACAGCTGGCTACATTTGACAACCCTGAACTCAACTCACATTTTGGGTCTATGCCGTGATTTGAAATGAACTCGGGCCACATTGGAGGGAGGCGAGTGCTCTCACCACTGCACCACCACTGCGCCACCACTGTGCCACCCCTGCTCCTCTTGGTTGTAGATTCATGATAAAAAGGAAACAATTTTTGACTGTATCAGAATGTTGCTTTTGACATCATTCAAACTAATGACTTTGATTGCTTTTTGTAGCACCAACAGAAATTTTCAGAAAGCAAGAAGAGATGCACAAAAGCAAAGAATGACTATGTCTTGTCACTAGCGTCCACAAACCGCTTCCTGGAAAACTATTACAACAAGTTCCTAGGTACTTTGGTGGATGTAAGTATTATCATTTTGTATCCATTGACTAAATAGCTAGCAAATGGATACCAAATGGCCTTTTAAAAGTGTTGTAGTCAGGGTTTTCAGTAAAGTTATAAGTAGGTGGCAAAAGCTTTGCAGTAGGCGGAGAAGGAAAAAACTTGCAAGCGCTGAAAGAGCGAGTAACAAGGGGGTCCGGCGGCATGCCCCCTGGAAAAATTTGGAAATCTGGGCCTCTTAGAGTACATTTTCAGCATTCTGGAGCAAAAATTAGAGTGTTTGAACAGAACACCGACATCATTAAATTTTGCCTTTTTGGGGGGTAATTTCCAAAGAAAAGTAGGCGGCGAGTTCACATGAAATAGCTGGCGAATTTTGCCAGCTGCTGGCTCTTATTGAGAACGCTGTATAGTGATTTGATTTTAAAAATTAATGCTTTGAATAGGTTAGGGAAAATAGTTTCTTTTGGGTGTGTAAAGCATTCAAATGGATTGTCTTGTTTTTTTATCATGGTTTGCTCAACCCTTTTAGTACCAGGGATGACCAATGCCAATTTTCTCCTAACAATAATGAATACATAATCACAAAGAAAAGGCCATGAGAATTGCATGTAGTAGAGCAATGACCAAGGGAAATGTGCTGATCTTTAAACGCATTTTTCCAACTAAGTGTAACTCGTTAGGAATTTGTATGGACATTGATCTGGAGAATTTGTATTTGGATGTTGGAGCTTAAGGGGTTAACTGATTGGCTTAACAACCTGGGTCGGCTTGTTCGAAGTTGGGTTAAGATAACCAAGGGTTAGCATGAAATTTGAACCCAGATATGGGAGCTTCATTTAAAGTAAATTCAGTTTAATTCTCTTTTCTTACAATTTGATGATTGAAAGAATAGAGAAAATTATCTGAGAAAGTGCTTTTGAGAAAAAGAAAAAGAAACCTGGGTTAAAATAACCCCGGGTTAGACCTGGGTTAGCCTCACCGGGGTTCAAACAACTGGGCCCTGAACAGAATGTTCAACTTAAAGCCCCAGCCATTGTTAGTGCAGGTTGCTTGTGAGTATCCTCTCCACTAATGGACAATGGTGGTTCTTCATGTAAACCATTACAAACAAAATTGGAATTAAGAAATGATTGTGAAAGGTTTGACTCGGAAGATGACTACCTCAGAAAAAGTTGTCAAAATGTCAGTCACTGTCAGCAACAGTCCTGTTCAGGAATACTTTCACCTGGACGATCATACTCACTCTAAGAAATTATTGTTTTTCAAGAGAGGGGGAAACCAGAGTACTTGTAGGAAAACCTCTTGAAAGCCCTGGCCTTCCTTGCATTTTCTCTTAATTCAATCCACTTAATACAGACAATCCATCAATACAGGCGCTTTCTATATATAGCCTCCTCATTGTCTGTATTAAAGTTTGACTTTACATGCAAAATGTAGCCAAGTAGTTATAAACTCTCCTAAAATCTGTTATTGTAGGGTTTTGACACCAATTATCACGACTCCTTCAAAAGAGGCATAGAGGCATACACTACAGCAGAAGCCACCCTCGCAAGTGCAACAATTCAATCTGCTGACAGCATACGTGAAGGAAAGCTTTCTGTGCTGGCTGAAAAGGATAAGCACTACTTCTTTGAAGACAGCCATGGAGCCCTTGCCTTGCCATTCACTTTTGCTTTTCTTCCATACAACGATGAAGAGGCATGTTCTGTTAGTTTTCTTTGATTTTCAAGCTCAGTAATGATTCTTGGAGAGAACGCAGAGTACATGTATCAACCAGTACTAAGACCTCCTTAGGAAGGAGTGGTGGGGGGTTGGGGGTTGGGGTAGGGGAGGGGTAGCTATGTCCCTAGTCTGAACTTCAAAATTGGTCACTTGTGTATTGAAAAGGAGGCTCTTGTCTATGTCTCTTTTGGTATTTTACTATTGTAGTTGTGATGGTCCTTATTGCTGTCATGGTTACAACCAATCTTTATGTTGTTTGTTGCCATTTCATTGGTCTCACATGTAAAGCTGTATGTCATTTTTTCAAAGCCATGTTACTTGTCAAACTGTACCATTACAAATAGTCAGTACTGTGAAGATGAGTTAGATACTGGAACTGGAACACCATAAAGTTTTGTGAACTTAATTTATGAATTTCTGCAAGAATTATTGTCTTTTTGGTAGACACTCAATACAGTGGTTCATCTGTTATCCAGACACCTTGAAGTTGTAAAAAATGACTCAGTGGTACCTTGTTTTATTGAATCCTTTTACTCTTACAAGAAGCCATGGTTGAAACTCAAGAAAAGAACCTTATCATCACACGAATTGAGGGAATTGCTTTTTGCTTTTTTCCACAGTTAAATCAGGTGTCACCCCAGCAGACAGATGTCATAGAACATCATTATAGAGTCTATGAGAGACTTCAAAAAATACGAGCTGAAACTGAGGAGGTCTGTGCCTTGTTTGAATGTTGTTACTGTTTTGTTTATTTGTTTAGGTGTTTGTAAATTCATAAACTTTATAGCAAAACTAAAATAGCTCACATTACCCATGTCTGAGAAAAATAATCCTTATATTCTTTAGTGCAGTAAACTCTCTCCAAGACAGACACTGTTGGGACCATCCCAACCATAGAGGGTTCTGTCTGGTGTCTGTCTCAAAGAGATGTCTGTCTCATTAGCAATTATTGAATTCTGCTTTCGTAGGATATAAAGAATTCTGCAGATTGAGGAGAGTGTTATTCACCAAGCCCGAAAATAATTCCAAGTTTAAAAACAAGTTAAAATATACTTACCCCGGTCGATGTTAAGTTCATATCGATAGTGCATCTTTATCGGGAAGTTTAGGAGATAAAGGGCTGTCCAGGTCTGCAAATATACTCCAAATATCAGATGTCATCTGTCGAGTTCTCTTCTTGCTGTTCTTGCCATGTTTGTTAGACCATAGTTCGCTGTGAAATGAGTAAAATGTTCTGCCATTACTCACTTCGAAAACAACTCAAACTTGTCCCCAGGTTTTCTTGGTTAATGGTTCAATAATCTGCAATTTTGCTGCACTTTTGACATCATCGGTTCAATATGGCGAAATTCTTCCAAATTTGGTCAACAGTAGCTGGTTTTGATGAATTATGCGTGTGATTTTAGCCAATCAGAAACGGAGAAATATTTTGAATGAATAATAATAGAGTTTATAGAGGTGTCCGAGACAGGAAAGGAAGTCAGGTACCATGCCTTTTGGCATCCATACTTTTTTCTTCAAAATCAAGTTATCAAACACTTCAGCGTATGCATCGCGTTTTTCTTGTCTTCTTGACGTCTGATGCATGATGACGTTAGTTGTTTCATGCCTCTGATACAATGTATTCTAATTTCTTTTCTGGGTACATGAATGTATTGCTGGCACAACATTTTATTTTCCAAGCTAAAAGATAATAAAATAATGATTAACAACGGAAAATATCCACTTTTGACTCTCTGATGATTCTTCCTGGTATCTCTTTAGATTGAAAAGACGGCAGAAGCAACCTCAGATGCTCTGAGTGAAATGTATCGACAGTGGGATAATGAGATGATGAGGATGGCCAATGGTGAAATTGACAACGCTTCTGGCAGTGCTAGTTGTACATCTATCAAGAATAGCAGTGAAGATTTAGAATTGTACTTTATTGTGGTAGGTTGAACACTTCATGGTCTTGTATTGGTATTTATAAATTATTATTTTCATTATCCCTGTAGATTACCAAGGTTTAAATATAGACCAATTTCAGGATATCAAAATTCATACCTCGCTCTGAGTCTCGGTGGAATAAAGTCGAAGAAAAGTCGTTGAGTATCAGGAATGAATAAAACATTTTACTTTTTTATTCCCCCAAACTTCAGAACCAACCATGAAACTCAATAACACAGCAGGAATACACAAGAATGAAGTCGAAGGATGTTGATCGCTCTTTGAAGGATATCCAATCCAAAAATGTCCTTTCTTGGATGGTGTTATCGGCCATCATACTCTTTCTCGTCCAATCAGTGTTTGTTATTAGTTATGAGGATTTTCCAAGGCATTCCCGATTTGAGTTGCCTATCATTATTTTTATGAAGTATTGTTTTTTCTTCTTCTGTACCTTTAGAAAATGAGGGAACTGATTCTTACTAGCAGCTTAAAAGTCAGAATGGAAGCTGAAAATGATATGCTCACCAAGACACTGGGTTAGTACATACGTATAGTTCACTTTGTACAAATGCTCTAGAATAGTTCCCGTAAATTCCACAAATAGGCTCCCAGCCTTTACTTTTAACAGGTTTTTATTCGTGGCTGGCGGGAATTGAGGGGTGGAGGGGGTGTCCAGGGTTTTTCACTGTAGACTAGAAAATTCTTGCTAAACTTAGCAAATTCAAAGACGACATCATCATTAAAGTCTACCTGTAGCATGTAACTAGTCACATCTGGACTTCCAAGTGCAATACAGTTAGCCCCCCGCTCTTCCCCCCTCCCCCATTCCGCCACAGAGGCTCTTTTCAGTGAATTTTGAGCATTTGGGGGCCTTTCCTTTCGTGGGGAGGGAGGGGGGAGGTTGGTGTGGACATTTACACTCATGCGTGTATGTAATAGAACTCAAATTTACTAACGATCTGTTTTTTAATTATAAAACGTTTGCAGGAGAGGTCACACCCGATATAGTTGGAGCCAGGTAATAATAATTGAATTTACTTTGGAAACTTTAGGGCAACATTGTTTGGTTGCAAATTCCCGAGGGGATTATATCACTGTAGTTTAATCGTTTTACCAATTTTTGCCTTTTAGTTGCTATGAAATTTAACCTAATAGAAGAAATACCCGTCTCCCTTTAAAGCGGAAAAAACGCTGTGGGCCAATCCAAAAGTAGAGGACAATCGTTCATGCATAATGCCAAACCGCAGTTTTTAACCTAAAGAAACAAGAATGTGGCGTTGTGGCCTTGACCAGCTTGCGCAACGAAAGTGAAAGATTAGGAAATTCTCCAACGTAGCACAAAATATTAAAAATTAATGTTCAACGAGGGAAAAAATCCGAATGACTGCTACAGTAGGACAAACAACACATTCCTATCTCCAAATAGCAAAATCAATACTTCATGACCAGTACATACAGTGGAAGCTCTGGTAATATGCAATCGGACGTGTATGTGAAAAAAACAAACAAACAAACGCTAAAACTGATATTAATTCATTGTAACAGATAGTGATATATATATAAAAACAAAAACAAAAACCGAAAAGAAAAGATTCAGAGGCGAATCTCTCCATAACTGGTCTGCCACACAGCCGTTTTAGTGTCGTCACGCAATTGCGTGACGAGTGACGACACTAAAAACGGCTGTGTAGCAGACTACTCCATTACTTGGTCTAGAAAGAAAAAGTTTAACTGCGACATTTTGTTTTATTCCGTGACAGGCTTAAGAGGCCACATTTGGACATAGGCTCTAAAGAGGCCTCAGCTATATTGGATTCTGTACAAAAGAAAACCAAAGTTTTCGGTTGTAATTTAGAAAATTATTTGAAGGTGAGTGTTTGTTCTTAGTCTTTATATTTTTAATGTTGAAGAAGGAAGTATTGTTAGTATAGTGTTAATATTTCTCCCCAAGTTTTGTTCGAAGGGGTCACTGTACCACAGGATTTCATTCACAACTCAAAAGTCAGTAGTACTTACAAAGTAAATACTACCGTGCAATGTTAAAGAGATTTCATTTGAATGGATACACCATAAGATTTCATTCATAGTTTGAAAAGTTAGAACTACGTGCTTGATATACAGAACCATGTGAAAGCACTTCTACAGAGGTTTAATTTGAAGAATTGTACCCTCAGATTTCGTTAACAGATTTGAAAGTTTGTTCTTCAACACTGGGACATTGTGTGACCTTCGAAAACAGGACGGCTGTATTCGCAGGCTACACATTCTGCCCATTAATTTAGTGTGGACATAGTCTTAGAGAGAGTAGAGAGTCGTAGAGAGATAGCTTCCCAAGCACAGCGTATAAAAATCACTAATAGAGAGCTTAAGCAACAACGACAGGGAACGGTTACGAAAACGTCACTTAAAAAGTAAAGTGGCACTGTTTCAAACTTTATCGCGCTTATTCCATCTCGTTCAATTCGTCAAATGTTAGCAATTTTTTCTCGATTTCAATTCTAAAAAACTCTATCAAAGTTCAGGAAAAGAAAACGAAAGTCATCGTCTTGCGTTCACGTTCTCCACAAAACGTGTTAGGCATTTTCACGTCGTGGTAGTCGTGCAATGACTGCAAAGAAATGTGCAAAAAAGCGTGATGCACGTGTAAAGTTGTTGACCTACTGCTTTTTTGCCGTTCTCGTTGACTTTGCCGGCGTCGTTGTTTAAGCTCCCTAATGGATAACGAGAGAGTTGCACTCTTATATTGTAAATTGTATTGGCATAAATATTTCGAGAAAATAAGTATTTTCTTTTGCAGATTACAGGAAGGGAAATTCCTGAAGTAGTAGAAAGTTGTGTCAAGTTTATAAAAAAGTTTGGTGAGTAAATTAACTATTCTTTCGCCTTTATGAAAAAATACCCTCTTCGGTTGACTCTTTATAAAAGGAAAGTTCGGTCCCTTGTTTACACTGATTGTCCAAGTTGTAATCAACGAGTTAGGATGTATGACGCCCAAACGTTTTCCCCGTACGAATATTCGTCGTCAAACGTGCTTATCATAGCAGTTTTCTAATATCTATTCTAGTGAATTATATTATTTAATCAGATATAACAGAAAAACATTGCATTTGTTTATAGCGCAGCAGCGCTTTTTGAGTGGATGTAGTACTATTTTATCCTTGTTTAGAATATCTTTGTGGTTGTGTACGTACGTTATTGCAAAGCCGGTTTTTTGTTTGTTTACTTCTTCTTTAAATTTCTTTTTCCTTTTACTTTTGTGTTTTTTGACAGGTTTGGACCATCAAGGAATATTTCGCTTGTCGGGTTCAACAACAGAAATTAACGATATGAAACAGCTATTCGAAAATGGTAATAAAACCGAACGGTGCATGTTGTTGCTATGTCACGTTCATTTAACTAGAAAGGCTTTGACGTTTACCCAGACAACATGCATATACATGAAAACCTTTAACCCTTTGGTGACGGCCAGCGAGTGGCGAAAAAAACCACATTTTTCACCAATATACCTCATTTTAGGACTGTTTTCGGTTCATTAGCATAAGAATGGCTAAAAATGAGTTTTGCAACAAAAAGGGCATATTTTCCGACTAATCGAATGAAATAAATTTTTTTGTTTTCATTCTCTACTGCGTGCGTATAACCCAATTTCTTTCCTTCTTTTCTTGCGTATCTATTTCGAACTTTCTTAAACTGAAAGCTAAATGGGTCCAGGAAGTAAAATCTCTATTTTATCTCGGGTAATTTTTAGTTTTCATTTGTTTCAACTTCATTAGCGTACAAACAAAGGAAAAAATTAATACAAAATTAGCTGAGGTAAAAAATTAACTACAACATATACACCGTTCCATATGGAACAAAAACGACTAAAGCGGTCTTCAAAGGGTTAAAGTAAACTTCGGCAATGCAAGTAATAATTCATCCACTGAGTCAAAAGATAAAACCACGTAAAACGTTATAAGGATTATTACAAAGGAGTATGTTAGTATTAATGTTAATGTTAATTGTAACTATTATCAACATTATAATCATCTTCATCATCGTCGTCATCATCATCATCATCATCATATAATCATAAAAAGCCTTGGATCAATTCAGGTTTCTGGGAAACTGCCCACCTACCCCTCCCCTGAGCCATCGTTTTGCCCTAAGTGAGAAGTAAGTGTTAATGTTGGCGTAGGGGAGGGGCAGGTGGGCAGTTAATTGACCCAAGGCTTTCAACTAACCATTAACTAGAGTCGAACCTCCACTAACGGCTACTCTTTTCTGTCCCCAAGGTGCCCGTTGTGGAAAAGTTCGACTGTAGAAAAAAACCCTGATGGTAGATGCGCTAACAACTACCCGTAATTATTGTTGTTTTCAGGTCGTGATCCATTAGCAGGTTTGAATCACTGGAAAGATATCAACGCTGTTGCTGGTTTACTGAGGGTGTATTTCAGAGAACTTGAAGATCCACTTTTCCCCAGCTCACACTATCAAGAGTTCATCAAGGCCAGCTGTTAGTAAATTGCATAGATTTGAGACGATTCCGTGGGGCTAAATCTCATCCCCCCCCCAAGTGACTGCCTCCACCCTACTTAAATTATAGCCCCCCCATTCCGTTCGATCAATTCAGTTCACTGTTATCGAAGAGCCACTTATATTTGCAGATCGTTAGAAAGTGAAATACAGGAAAGTGAACGGAAGACATGAATGGGCACAGTGTGATTTGAATCGGAATTTGCTTGTTATGCGGCCGTTTTTTATTCAACTCTAGCTAAAATTACCGGCATTCATAAACCAAACCTTACAAGGCATATATTTTAGCTTAACAGTTCTATGTAACCTCAAGAAAACTAAGCTAGTCAATTGTTACTGAGAGGCGCTAATGGTTAGTTCCACAGACAACGTAATTCCCTTTTGTGACACGTTTGGGTTATTATACGTTTCTGGGAAACTGCCTACCACCTAACCCTCCCCTAAGCCAACATTTTGCCCTAAGTGAGAAGTAATTTTTAATGCTGGCTTAGGGGAGGGGTAGGAGGGCAGTTTCCCAGAAACGTATAATGATCCGAAATTTTTATCTACCTTTCATTTTGCTATCCAGTTTCAAACTTTCATGCCCTGTCCAGTATGGTATTCGTGCTGGTGCAAAAGCTATGCGGTGTCAGCGTGTGAACATTGCCTAAAAATGGAGAGTCACATATAGACCTTATTCACGATACCCGCCATCTTTGCACGCGCTTTAGGATTGATGAGATAAAAGCAATGTCACGTGGTATTTCAGATTGCAAACAAAAGATAACATTTGCCAATGCGAGAAATCGCGGTCGACTTTGTTTATTCTCTTAAAATGAAACGACGATTAAATAGTCATGCAAAATGTACGGTTTGAGTTTCAACAAAATTGACGTCATTATTGCTTGCTGTAAGGACATCTACAGTCGCTACTGCATCCTAACAAGTAGAAATGATCACTCTCAACCATAATTTGCCATTATCGTGTTTAATATGAAAAGTTGTTCATTTTCTGTTGTCAAGAATAAACAAACTCGACCGCGAGTTCTAGTATTGGAAAAATTTATCACATGTTTGCCCCCTGAGAAATCAAGTGACATCGCTTTTATCCCATCAGTCCTTAACCCATTCGCTCCTGGAGATTTTGCCGAAAAACGCGTTTTGAAGCTAGTCGAGTGGTTTTCTGGTCACTGTCGTGCTATAAAGAGCTAAAACGTACCACAAACCGGTTTACAGGTCGTACACTTTGCGGCCTTCTGATCGAGATGCAAAATATCAGCTTGCGAAGTTCGGGCATGCGCCGAAAGCAAAATTTCGAGATGGAAATTTTCAGGTCAATGTCACGTGATTTTTTGCTTCTTTCTCCGGTGTCCTTGACTGAATTGTGCTCATTCTGGTATGGTTTGAAAGATCTCTTCACTCTGCACAATTTAGCGAACAAAGTTGTCCTTGACCGTTAAAAACTGATGACGTCACAAAGGGTAGAAAGGACGTGGATCCGCACGGGCGGTTACAGGCGGTTCAGGGGCGAATGGGTTAAGCGCGTGCAAAGATGGCGGGCATCGTGAATAAGGGCTATTGGATAGGTATTTATAATATACCGGATGGCTTTTTGTGCCGGTGTTGTGTGAACGTAGCGTTAAATTCAAATCTTGTCCATGTGTTGGAATAAATCTAGAAAGGCTAGCAAATAATTAAAGTGTAACTTGCAGTAAAGAATAATCACGTGGCTACTTATTAAAACAAACCTTCCTTATATTCTTGTTTCCTTAGTGTCGAGCTCGGTTGAAGATGGTATAAGAGAATTGTCAAACGTCCTCAATTCCTTGCCTGAGTCAGTAGTCCAGGTCATGAAGTACCTCTTTTCTTTTCTTAGCTTGTAAGTACTGTTGTTTAGAAATTGGTTGATAATTGGTTTTAAAAGGGCTGCACCGATATCGCAGATATTAGTGACTTTAAGATCCAACGACGCGACACCAACAAGAACGTCGCTTAAAAAGTGGATTTGCGTTCGGTTAGTCTTTGTAGCGATTATTCCTACCCACTTACTGTGTCAAATGTAGGCGAGCCCTCCTGAAGCTGAATTTCAATAGACCATATCCAAGCTCAGAAAGAGGAGTAATATTTCGTCGTTGCTTGTTTACGTCCTCCATAAAGCACAAAATTAGGCATATTTTTCACGTCGTAGTTGTGCATAAACGGGAAAGAAATGGGCAAAAAAGTGTGATGCGCGTGCAAGGTTGTTGTTTTGGTTATAATACCTATTGTTTTTTTGACATTCTCGTTGCCGCCCGCGTCGTTGGATCTGAAAGTCCCTATCGAATCACGTTTAAACTATTTTATTTTTATTATTATTATCATTATTATTATTATTATTATTATTGTCATCATCATCATCGTCGTCGTCATTATTATTATTATTATTATTATTATTATTATTATTATTATTATTATTATCATCATCATCATTATCATTATCATTATCATTATTATTATTATTATTATTATTATTATTATTATTATCATTATTATTATTATTACGTTTATTTTTCTTTCCCTATTATAAAGGGTTGCTGAACACAGTGACTCCAACAAAATGGACGCGCATAACCTAGCAGTGGTGTTTGGTCCTACGTTGTTTCGAATCCCGTCTGAACAAGACATGATAGCTTACCAGAGTCAAGTCAATGGTATGATAGAACTGCTCATCAAGCACAGTGGTGAGGTGTTCCCTGGCTCGGGAGAGTCATTACGTGAAAAATTGTCGGACACGGAAGATGGTAGTGATAGTGAAGAAGGTAAGAATGTTGAATTTCTTTAAAAGAAAAAAAAAAGGGTTTAAGCTTGTTTGTAGTGGAAAGTGCAGTAAGGGTGCTTTCCATTTGTCAGAACTAACCGGCCTGTCCTTTCCCGTCGCAATGATAATTTCACTTTTTATCGAAACTCTCCATCCAGATCAGATCAGACTAGAGAATTATGAAGTTTTAGAGCAGCTCAGAACTAATTTTCAGACAAAGGGTTCTTCGTTTTGTGATAAATTACGTTAGAATTTCTAAGCTTTTAAGTGACGCGGTATTTACGTGGCGGCCGACATACCAAACCATTTCACTTTAATAGTTTTTTGTTGTAAAAGGCGCGATTTACTATGTAGCCATAAGAACGGTGATCTTTATGATCTTTATTTTCACATGTGAAGATATCATGTTTTAGCGCGCAAGCTCACCTTGCATTATTATAATAATAATTTAAGTTTCTGTTAGTTACCGGCCGCCAAGTTGGTGCTCATCCGTGTAGGCACCAACATCGCCTCTCCATACAATAAGCTAAATAAATTTGGGTAGATCATTTCTCTAAATATCTGGCATATGAAAAATTGCACTGACCTGAATCTTGGCGACGATCTTAAGGTATTTATCTCCCTTCATTTCTTAGATTCTAGACTATATCTGTTGAATGGTGTTGATTTTAATTTTGATACCGTGACAGTGAACAGCGATGTGCCTTTTTTGTTTAAATTCCTGTTTTTTTTTTTTTCGCAGACTTCGAGCCAAGAGACGCGGAAGCTCTTTTCGACTACTCGGCTCGCTCTTCCAAAGAACTTTCTTTCAAGAAAGGCGACATTATCCGTGTTTTCAAGCGTTTCAATCCTGACTGGTGGGACGGCACCATAAACGGAACGGATGGTTTTGTGCCCGCGAAATACATTCGCATTAACAACGATGATAATGATAATGACATTACAGACAGCGAGGGTAGTTTGTCAGTTCCTGGTGAACTGACACCTTCGCCGAAGGTACTCAGCAGTGGGGATAGACCTAGGGACTTAAATGTGCCTCCGAGGATCCCAAAGAGGGAGGGCTCGCTCAGGGGAAGGGATAGTATTCCTTCGCCCACCTCTGAGGTGGCAAGCCCCTTAGGACCAAGTCCCCAAACTGGTGGCATGTCATCGTTTAAGAAGACGTCACTTACAAGTACTCCGGTTTCGTCATCGTCATCAGGGCCACCAGCCATCTCGTCAGAAGATATTGTGAAACGACAATTGAATCTCTTACGGAAGGCTCCAAAGGAGGAAAAGGAAACCGACGGTTCCGTTGATAAAACGCCTGAAAAAGATCAACCGTCTTTCGCCATGCCACGGCTCCGAAGTATCTCGCCTCCCAGAAAGACTTCGCCCAGCCAGGAAAAAGGAGGAGGCACACCAGATGAATCAAGAAATGCAACCAAAGAAGAACACCGTAGATCTAGTGATGTTATTTGGCAACCCAGAGGAGAATCGCCTGGTAATCGCAGCCCGCCTGGAAGTCCTCGTTCGACGACCGCGCCGAAGGTTCCTCCAGCTGTCCTTCCTAAGCCCAAAGGTGGAAGCCGCAATCCAGCTCCTCCCTTTCGGAAAAATTCCGATGACTTACTAGCGTCTTTGCATGCTGCACAAGCTGTACGGAGCCACCGGGGAGGGTCTACTGGGGAGGATCCGAGAAAGAGTAGGGGGTCTGTCGGGGATGATACGGCCTTTTAGCGGGGTGGTTCAAGGTAGCTATAAGGTTATATGGATATATGAGATCAATACAGTAGGCGATTACGTTGGTTGATTGTTTTTGTTTTTTTTTTTCAGACGATCAGTTAAGTAGGCGAACAAGGGAGGAAGGGGATAGGGTCCGGGGGGGCCAGGGGGTGGAGGGGGGGTAGATGATCTAGTAATTTAAATACAAATTCTGACCTCAAAAATGGGCGTAAACGGGAGTCAAAACCTGGAGCCTTCAACTGCCATGTGTTCGTTTCATGGCGTTTGTATAGACAGATTTCCCCCAACCGCATCCCACCACTCCCCCAAAACCGGATTATTTGGACAAACGCAGGATTCCCCCAAAAAAGATGCGGCTGAAAGTAAACGCGGTGATGTACGGCTGGTGTGGGAGTTGCTCGCTGGGGTTAGGGGGCTTCTGGCTCTACCAAGGTGAGGCTGGGTGGCAATGGAGGGGATTGGATCTGGCGAGGACGGGGACTGTGTAAGTGATTCTACCTAATTATTGTTTCTCAAAAAAGAAAAAAAATGCATTGACGCAGACCTTTCTTTGCCTGCAGTTTACTAGTTATAGGAACCCAAAAGTCATGTGAACTTCACTAATTTTGATATGAAAACTTCGTTAATAAATACAATTTTACTATGTCATCATTATCCATGATTAAGGAGTTTCACTTTTAGTAACACATTTTCAAGTTTGGAAAGGTCTTCATCGAGGGAAGTGGCTTGGGCGGTTATCTGTTTTATCGTCTTTCGTATATTTAGTATGGTGACTTTTCATGGGGAAAGCACGACTATCATTTAATTCTGGAAAGTTCAGTTATAATTGTATTGTAAATATGTAATTATTTTAGTAAAAATTCGTTTGAAGTATAGGCTAAATTTCCCTTCTTGTTCAAGGTTGTTTTGTAGGTGATGCTATTATTTATGATTTTATTTGAAATGGAAGGAAATCAAAATAATAGCTTGAGGTTCTATGACATTTTGCAGTATAACGTGATTCTCATATTGTTTCCAGATTTCTCTTCATCGTGTGGCATGTCGCACCATATTTTAGGGCCTTCTTACATGGAGGTGGGGGGCAAACGACGTGTTTGGTGATTTATGTTCGAATTAACCGATCAGATCTTTAGAAAAGAGCGGGAAAACGCTTCGCGGTTGGTTTTGGTTTGATTTCTGATTGGTCGCGAAACTGATTAATGCTCTTCTACTCTCACTTGCTGCTCTTGCTGCAATTTTGCAGTGCTGTGGCTGTCTATTGTCAATTGCAAAGCAGCCACCAAAGGCAGTTACTTGAATTTGGCCCGAATTTGATGTAACACGAATCCGACCCCGGGTAGGCGGGCTACCTCACCTCGAAACGTTCTGGGAAAAATTTGAGCCCGACCGAGAGGGTTACCCGGTCTGGCTGACCGAGCAACCCTATGATTGGCTAGTTAAAATGAGAGATTATATGGACAGGCGGGTTACCCCACCAAAGCGGCTTACCTGGGGTCCCCCTCCTCCATGTAAATAGGCCCTTGGTGTCAGAACAAGCTAATGCATCGTGACGTTATTGTGTACATTTTGGCTTATGAGCATACGATTTTACCCACAGAATGCGTCTTAGTTTTACAAATAGAAACAAAATTTGAAAAAATTGGTTAACTTAAGACGGCGTTTTAATAAGCAATTATTTTTGCGCTTTGCCCGTTCTATCGACATTCATTGTCGTTCACTGGGTGGTGCTTGAGGTGCTAAAAGATGTAGTCGCCCAAGGGAAACACGTGGCCGGTAGCTTGTAAAGTAAGCCTTGATGCATTGGCTTTAAAACTCTTTCGATTCTCTCTTTCTTTCACTCTGAGGAATGGAATCATGTTTATTGGTGTTAGAAAAATGTGACAATTCCTTGAAACTAAGGTGATGTTACACGAGACGATTTGCAACAACGATTTTTAGCGCTGCACATCTTTGCAACATTGTTGGGACGTTGTTTTGATTAGTTACAACATTGTTCCAACATTGCGAGGCTGTGTTGCGCTAAAAATCGTCGTTGGGAATCGTACCGTGTAACATCACTTTTAAAGAGTCGTTCAGTAAGTTGGTATTCTAAAGACTTGAACGATAAATAATTCAGAGATATTTTGGTGTATGTAAGAAAATTTAGATAACTTATCAAGCAGTTCAATAATAAAACAGCCGTTTTGTAACGTTTTAGCCGCTTTTTGCCAAGTTAGCGTTACCCTCTTGCACTTGTTGTAGTTCCCCTATACTGCCTTTGTGGTATAAGGTTGTAGTCGCAATGTATGATGCTTTGTGCTGAATGGACCCATGCCCAACTTACTTTACTTCCAAGGAGACGAACAAGACTGCTGGGTTTAATTTGCAGATGCGGGTGCAGAAATACGGAAAGGTACGTAAAACGGGCAACAAAAAGGTGCTACTTGTTTTGCAACATTGCTGCGAAACGGGTCGAAAAGCGATGCTGCGCGTTTTGCCGACCCTTAACCATGCAAAGAAATTCGCCACCAACTCGCCAATTTCGTTGATTTTAAATTTTAAATCACGTGACATGTCACATGACCATGATTATACGTTTGGCACAGAAAGACCTCAGGATACACATTTGAGAAAAATTTTGTCCTTTGATTCATGGTATCCTAGCGAGAGATATTGCAAAACAAGCATATTTTTTTTAGCCATATTTGTGAAATTAACCCTATTCAGACCGGGTTCTTTATTTGCTTCCTGTGACCGGTGGGAGCTTCTGGAGCCCCCTCTATAACTTCAAAACAACGCTTGATACGGCTACCAAAATTACTCAGAATGATGTTCGTAGTATTTGCAACATCTAGTCTTACCTTGATTGACATTATAACGTAATTTGACGTCATTATGACATCTTAGTGTTGAATTTATTGGCAAAATCCAAATTCCATCAATTTTTCCCCTCAAAGCGGAAAATACTCAAAAAGTAAGGTGTCTGACTAAATCAAGAAGTGGGGGAACACATTAATTAACAATTAATGAATGAGGCTGAGTATCTTATGAAGAATTATGGAGATCGAAGAAGGTGTTATCGGATAACACCCTCCAAGATCTTCATAATTCTTCATATGATACGAAAGCCGAATTCAATAATTGTTTTATTATTCATTCAAAATAATTCCTAGTTTAAAAACAAAGCTAAAACATGCTTACCTCCATTGATGTTAAGTGCACCTTCGATAGTGCGCTTTTAGGGTTGTTCAGCTCCGCAAATGTTCTCCAAATAGCAGATGTCGCCCTTGGAGTTGTCTTCTTGCTGTTCTTGTCATGTTTTTAGCTATAATTTCGCCTAGTTCTTACTCTTAAAACGAGTGAAATGTCCGCCATTTTTTTGTTTTCACAACCAAAACAACTCAACCTCGTCTCCAGATCTTCTCGGTTAACGGTGCATTAACCTGCAAGAACGCTGCATTTTTGACGTCATTTCCTCGTTAAACACAAAATTCTTCAAATTTGGTCATCCATAACTGGTTATAGTGAATTAAGCGTGTGTTTTTAGCCAATCAGAATCGGGGAAATATTTTGAATGAATAATAATAATCTATAAAGACAACGGTGATGTCATGATGACGTCATTCATTGTCAGGGCCTACAACCATCGCCATCTTGGATCCGCCATTTTGAATTAATTAAATGTATTCTATTTTACCTGAAACCCTTATAAATCGACGGAAACGTTACAGAAAAATTGATCTGTGTATAAAAGAAGGATGCTTAGAAAGCAAAAAATTCCGTAAGTTATGAAATTCCGAAAAACATTATCACAGATAAAAATTGAACCCAAGCAAATTTTGAAAAACGTGTCTGTCAAAGGAAAAGTGAGTTAAGTACACGTAATTGTAACGATGACTTTGAAATATTCCCAGGAATTTTTTTTTGGGAAAAGTCGGTTCGTTTGGATAGCTTGGACGGTTTTGAAGTTATTCAAAGCGAAGAGGGGGTTCTGAATAGGGTTAAGGAGGACAGAAATACTTGAACACCGACGACGTTACTCCTTTGTCTTTATCTCATGAATAAGGAAGGAATTCATTAAGATAAGGTCATGTGCTCTTTTTAAGTGGATTATTTGTTTGGACAGGATTTCTAGTTATTCTAAAATCGATAAAGGTCTTTCCTTTAATCTTGAGCTTCTTTCCTTCTGCTTTCATTGCCCAACAAATTGTTCCTGCTCCGGTTCACTGATTCTTAGCGCGAAAATCTTAAATATTCAATAAGGACGAAGACAAGCTAGCTCTTTCTACCATGAAAAAACAATTTTTTGACTTTTTTCCACCACCACCACACTTCTTCTGTTTTTCCTCCACCATCACCACCAACTCCATATTTCTATTGTTCGCCATTCACCATCACCATAGAAATGTGGTGGTGGTGGTGGGAAAACAGTAGAAAGTAATCTGAAGGAGATCAAAATTTCTGAATATTTTTTTCCTATTATTATTATTTTCTAGTTCTTTATGGAGATCAGAAATTCCGATTTTTGTCACTGACATCCTAATGGGGTTAAGAATTTCTTACTTTTTTGGTGTTCTCTGTGAGAACTAGAAGTCCTGAATGTTTTTGGACTTCTTTATGGGGATCAGAATTTCTGAGTGTTTTTTTTTTGGACTTCTTTATGGGGATCGGAATTTCTGAACGTATTTTGGACCTCTTTATGGGGATCAGAATTTCTGAATGTTTTTTGGACTTCTTTAAAGGGGATCAGAGTATCTGAGTGTTTTTTGGACTTCTTTTATGGGGATCGGAATTTTTGAACGTTTACTTTCCAAATTTTTAAGGAAATCAGAAATTCAGAATTTTCGCCGGAGTCCTTTAGCGTGATAAGAGATTAAAAAACAGTTTACAAAGTTGGAATTATAGTAACTTTGCTTTTCACTTGGAAGGAATTTGGGATTGCGAGCAAAGAAACAAATCGTTCTTGTATAAATTTTACATTACCTTTTCTATTTGGAGCGGAAGTGAAAAATTAT